GGGTTTCCCAGAAATATTTCCAGGCCCTCCACTCAGAGTTACTGCCAGAGATTTTGATCTTTTAAAACCATCCAACTGGTTCCTAAAACCACCATTTTCTTGCCAAAATCAATACCCAGGAAAGCTCCCCGTGGAGTCTTCACAGAAAGACGAAGGCTGGTAGCGTTGTTCAATGAACCAAGTGAAAAGTAAATGGCAGCAATTCGATGAGGGATGGCAGCGTGGAAGCCAGTCTTTAAAGGAGGCTTGACCACCTCCTAGGGATCTCCTGGTGCTTCATCGCCCAGGGCAAGTAACCCGCCGAGGAGTGGGGACCGCAGTGCCAACCCCTGGCCCCCCACCACAGCCCGGCAGAGGCCCGAGGAGTGGGGACCGCAGTGCCAACCCCTGGCCCCCCACCACAGCCCGGCAGAGGCCCGAGGAGTGGGGACCGCAGTGCCAACCCCTGGCCCCCCACCACAGCCCGGCAGAGGCCCGAGGAGTGGGGACCGCAGTGCCAACCCCTGGCCCCCCACCACAGCCCGGCAGAGGCCCGAGGAGTGGGGACCGCAGTGCCAACCCCTGGCCCCCCACCACAGCCCGGCAGAGGCCCGAGGAGTGGGGACCGCAGTGCCAACCCCTGGCCCCCCACCACAGCCCGGCAGAGGCCCGAGGAGTGGGGACCGCAGTGCCAACCCCTGGCCCCCCACCACAGCCCGGCAGAGGCCCGAGGAGTGGGGACCGCAGTGCCAACCCCTGGCCCCCCACCACAGCCCGGCAGAGGCCCGAGGAGTGGGGACCGCAGTGCCAACCCCTGGCCCCCCACCACAGCCCGGCAGAGGCCCGAGGAGTGGGGACCGCAGTGCCAACCCCTGGCCCCCCACCACAGCCCGGCAGAGGCCCGAGGAGTGGGGACCGCAGTGCCAACCCCTGGCCCCCCACCACAGCCCGGCAGAGGCCCGAGGAGTGGGGACCGCAGTGCCAACCCCTGGCCCCCCACCACAGCCCGGCAGAGGCCCTGCCGGCGGGCAGGCCCGGGGGAGAGGGCAGGGCGCCGACGGCGGGGACTCATCCCGACTCCTCTCTGGCGACCGTTAGGGACGCGAGCTGGCCGATAAAAGGACTTACACACTGGGATGGTCTCGAACTCAAACCTCCGGCTGAAGACGCCGTAGCCCGCGGCGGTGCGCGCCCGGATCTGGAAGACATACACCGAGGCCGGCTTCAGGCCCTCTGCCGTCACGCTCGTCTCCTTCGACTTGATGATTGTGTAGCTGGTCTCTTGGTCCTTGCGTCACACATGTACATACAGTGGAAAAAAGCCAACATATGAGTGACGAATAACAGCAAAACTTAGAACCACAGATGAGAAAACAAATCAGAAACTAATAAATATGCTCTCCGTGCAACTAGAACGTTCTAGAAAAAACACCTGCAGGTTTTCGGTGTGCTCTTCACAGTGTCGTCTAGAACTCAAAGGTGGTAGGTGACACGTTCATCCACCTACCATGCTCGCCTTTGGGAAAAATAAAACTGCAAACTTTTAAAATACAATTTGCAGGAGGTAAATTATTTTATACTCTGTTTCAGTATTGTTATTTGTGTGCTTGTTTTCCTCATAAGTGTTTTATTGGAGCATATCTAACATGCTGCCTGTTCGTAGAAATTGGTGACAGTGTCTCGTTCCCTACCAGGTAAGACACGCTTTACACCTTCCGTGAATTTGATTTTAGTCACAGTTAATGGTTGGCACAAGGAATGAACACTGCCCTGGAGAACTTTCATTTCAGTTCACTAACTCTAAACAAGGAATATTTAAAAATGCATATAAGCAAACATGATTTTTATTTATAAAAACTTTCTATATTTTTACTTGTCTTTAAACCTTTTTTAAACTTTTATTATTTGTGTTAAGGCCGGGGGGGTAGTGGATGGAGACAGAGCAGGGAAGCCACCGCTGGAAATGTAGTTTGGAAACTGAAACAAAGAGGAACTGCTCTAATTTTGACTGTTAGCAAGCGTGTAGACCAACACCTGTAACTCCTCATATCTCTGAAGTCACTGTGCTTAATATAAAATCTTAGACCTATCAAGACTTAAAATGCAAAGTCCCTGTTTTGGACTTTCTCCTCTGTTGTATTTTTCTGTGTGAGTTCTTGGCTAAACTTGTTTTTTCCTTAAGGTCTTTCTATGTGTATTACATTTCTGATAGACATTATAAGACACACTAAAGATAAGTAATGGTTGGAGATTTTTTCGCCTTTTAAAGAATTGGTCTTTAATTTCAACAACTTGATTGATGATTGTAAACCATCATTTGCAAGATATTTCAGGGAGTCTTGTCTTTACAAATAGAAACATGTATTGATTTTTTCTGCTAAGAGAAAAAAATTAAAACAAAAATATAACGCTTACTTCTCAAGCACTCTAATAGGGGATATGGTTGTTATTTAATCTTCATTGTGCTATTAAAATGCAAATCCAATGCAAACCATGCTCCTTCTCCCTTGAAGTCTACGATCAATGACAGGATGCCAGGATTTCAGTGAGAACACTGAAATCACCTGCTAAATTACAGCAAGTCCATTCTTTTATCTCCAGTTTCCTTCACTGTTAAAACTGGGATAGAGAATTGGTGCCTGGGTATCCTCTCAGAGGTGTTGTAAGAATGAAATAGGTAATACGTGTGAAACACTAACTAAACTGTAAAAATACGTGTTTTAATTGTCATTATTTTAATTTTTAAAAATAATTTGACATATCAGTCAACTTCTATCTATGTTCAATACTATGTGCCACCAATACAACCTAAAATATACAACCTTATAAACATTCTTCTTTTACAGCAGTTTTATCACCCTGATTTAATATGTTCAAACATATAAAATTATCTCTTAGGGTTAAATATATCCAAACTTCTCTCCAAATCAGTATGGCCTAATTTCTAATCCAAATAGGTTTTCTGACTTATTCCATGAAAACAATTGATCTTCCTAATTTTTAACGCAAAGATTAATTTAAGTGCCTAATTTTTAAAGTGTTTAGGAAAACTTTTTAGAGTTTTGCAAAGGATTTAAAGTAGATAAATGTTATAAAACTTTACCTAGTCAAGTCAGTGATTTTCTTCATTCACAAATATTTACGGACCTTCTCTCATCTACTCTGATAACCGCCTTCTATATGCTAAAGATACAGCAGTGAAAACACAGACAATATCTTCATGAGTTTCTTTTAAAAGAGGTAAATAGCTCCTATAAACAGTTGTGGTCACTGATGTTCTGAGTGTGCTCCAGACTGACTGAGTATGCAAGACTTTCTCAACTGTATTATACTTCCCAGTTTGGCAGTGATTGAAGAAGTCATTTTCACTAAGAAATGATGAAATATCTGTTTGCTATTATTTTCAATTTGTTTAAAGGGAGTTTAAGTTAGTGAAAAAAATCTGGGCAAAACTGAAGTTAGGATTCTGATATATTTGATATAGTTAAGATTTTTACATAAAATATTGACATTTATAATGTAAAGTAAGAAGATTTTTTTAAAATAAATAAAATAGCACAGGGAAATCAGTGCTAGAATTTCAGGCATGTAATTCAAGTACATGTGTAAATGTGAGTACACAACTCAACCTCAGTTTTTTCTTTGACATGTGAACCTAAAAATAAAAAGCCTTTCAAAGACAAAAGCAACAAGCCTTTATTTGAGATCAAAGAATAGCTATTCAATAAAGCGATGATTCAGGCAGAAGCCCAAATAGTGTTCCGATTAGAAGACAAGGGCAGGGGATATTTATGAGAAAGGAAGGGGAACAATGACATCAATAGAAAGAAGGCATGTCTATTGATGCAGATAAGCTAACACAGTGAGGTCATTCTAAAACATTTTTTTAATTTTAATTTTCAGTTCGGTAGTCAGACTGGTAGTCATATCTGCTTTCCTGTTATCTTTGCGAACAGAACAGTTGCATTAGGCCCAGTCCAAAGGTTATTTTGGCCTATTTTAATGTTTCAAAAGTTTGAGGCGTAAGATGTGCAAGGCAGTTCCTCTAGGAAGGCAGCTCGGGATCTATTTTAAAGTTTCTCCATTTATTAGTCTTTGACATTTAAAATGGGATGAGATTATTTATCGAGAGCTTTGTGAGCACACACAGAGAGAGATAATATAAACAGCACCCGGCATAACCTCTACGGTGCCATGGGTTGTAGGTAAATTTGATTTGACCCTATAGCATGACAGCCAATTCTCCTACGGAAAAGAGCAAAGAAGTAGCAGCTTACATGGTTAGAATTCCTAACTACTGAAGTCGCAAGAACTACCAGGAGTGCATGTTGCCAAAAGAAAAAAAGAAAAAACACTGAATGCCAGGAAACTGGAAAGCTCCTTCTTGAAATAATGCAGAACCTTATATCAGATGCACGAAATTATGCAATATTCTGATTAACCCGTTAACCTCATGTATATCTCAGTGGTCCCTTATCATAGGTCTGACTGCGCACTGTCTCTCTGAGTGGTTGAATACTATCTTATTAAAGGGATTTAGCAAGGCACGTATCTAAGGGATCAAAACCTATAAATACACATCTTGAATTACCTAAATATCTTCCCAAATTTGCCTCTGCTGCACTTTCGATCACTGCCACATTATAATTTCCTCCGTATTACGAAGCCCGTGTGCACACCTTTAACACCCACAACCACATGACAGAGGGCTGCCAAGTCCTTGGTGAGGGCAGTGGCTTTTGCTGCCTTCTTGCCCCGCGCTGAGCAAATGAGCTGCATTTCCCCAGCTGCTTAGCGAACACTGTTCACGCAGGGAGGGGAGGGCCTCAACGGGAGGAGCCAGCTGGCTGCCACCCTGCCGAGGGGCAGCTTCCCTTAGCCTCTGCCTTTAATTAAGAGATGGCAACGGGCCCATCGCCAGGCAGGGGCAGAGAGGCCCAATGACCTCTATTAGAGCAGGGCAATTGCAGGCACGAACGCCAGCTGGCAAATGCATGAGCCCGGGAAAGCTCTGCCACCTGTGTCTGGCCACGAGCCATCCAGGAAAGTGGTGGCATTCTGAAGGCTCAAAATGAACTCTGGAAACCTGTCAGGACCCCTATCTTAATACACGCTACAAGAAAGCTCATTAGCCCCCTTTTTTCTTCTTCTTCTGAAAGTGTTAAAAAAAACAAAACTTTACATGTTTTTTTATTGCTACTCTCAAAAAGTGAGCCTGGCAAAAAGGTCTGGGCGTTAATATTTTCATTATAAAAAGAAAAATATTAACCAAAAAAGTTAATAAGTTCTCCAAATGATATATTATATAAAAGGTTTTGCTGACTTTATTTCATTAAGTAGGCAACTTATTATTTATTTATTGGGGATGTGTGTAGAACTCTTCTTCCTGCAAATCATTTTTCCTACTTTGGTTATACAGATAATAAAGTGCATAAATACAGCATTATATGTAAAATATTAAATATAAAGCCAATTCTTACTGAAATAAATGATTTTAAAGGAAATGAAACTATAAAATTCCACAATGTGAATAAAATTCATTAAAAGAAATACTGATAGAAAAGGACTCCGCTCCACCACCTGAGTTACTCTTTATAGCAGCTTCGATTTTTTGAAAAAGAGAAACCCTTGCTTCTGTATTATACAGGGTGGCAAAACTAGGTTGTGAGTTTATTCGTGTATTATTATTTAATAATTATTGTACATTTCCCATACGAACAACTGTAAACCTCCTTTTGCCCCCCTCTGTAATATGACACTCATGCATATGCAGGGAAGTAACAGTAAAACCAATCAAAGTTTATTCATAAAGGGGAAAAGTAAGATCATTTCCTTAAAGACAAAAAGGAAAAACTAGACATTGGTCCAGCCAGTTGACTCAGAGGAAGAAAGACTATACAGGAAAATAGTCCTTGTCAAACGTTTAGTCTTCCTGCCTTTGAAGTTTAATTCATCTAAGACACAGGTATGCAAATGTAAGGGTTTTGGTGTAAAGTTATTTTTAAATGCCAATATGCATTTCAACTTTTTTAAAAAGTCAAATTTAATTACAATAAAAATGTGGAGACTTGGAATGTTTACAACAATTCAGTCTATGTTCCTATATCTATATCTATGTCTATATCTATGTCTATCTATATATCTATATCTATACCTATATCTGCACATACAGCTCTAGTTACCTACCTTGCATTAGTATCTGGTAATAAAGTTTATAAAAACTTGAATGAGGAATGCAAACTTTAATTTAACAAATTATATCTGGATAGAGAATGTGTTTAAATTGTAGACCTGTAGCAGTTGCACTTCAGTTTAGAGAAACAGGAATCAGTGAGGGATATTAATATAGCAACATTTTTAAAATTTATTTGCTTTTTTACAATACACACTATATGCCATATCCCAACATCACTTTTTCCCAGCGGTATTCTCTCAGAGATTTTTTGGTGAATAATGCATTGGTGATAACGTGTTTTCTGTGAAATATCTTAAGTATCTTCATTTATGTTCCCTAATGACCCAACAGTTTACATGTAAACTCGTTCCTAAAAAGACAATTAAAAAAAAACCAATTTCCTGTTTATTCATCCATTTATAAAATCAATATATGAACATTATACAGACATACAAGACCTAGAAAGAAAACGTAGCTAGCCCTGCTCTTCCCTCCCCACGCCCCCTACTGTTTTGTATTCTGTTGTACCTCTACACAGGTAATTGCCAAATTAATAAATAAAATAAAAACATGCAAATATATATATTCTATAATGCTATGAATTATTTCATTACTTCAATGTATTTACTTGCACTCTTATCTATGCATATACAGAAAATGTTGGATTTTTAAGTAATTTTTATTAATAAGAAATCAGCATTTTTCATGTTTTAGCATTCGTATAGGAACAATCATTCACTCCCTCTCTCTTTCCCAATGCATAGCTTGGACCATTGCTTAGGTGTTGCAAAGTTAAGCTTTTGACCTTCCTCCCGGCTCTCCGCTCTTCCTTCAGAGCCAGCGCGATGGCTGTGGGCCTGGGGAGGCAGCGGAGTGAGTGTGGCCGGCTCCTCCCTTCCCTCCTGGACCTGCTTCTCTGCATCACATCTACGGCCATTCCCACTCCCACTGCCATGGACACACGCTCGGGGTCAGGGTCTCCTCCCCCAGTTAGCGGCTGGTGCAGGTACCCATCTGCCTTGATCTCCTGTTAGAACCGGCCTATCCTAGGTGGTGTGTGCCACTCAGGTCCGGGCCACGAACATCACAGTAAAGTGGGGTGGGCGGCGGAAGACTCATGTTGGCTACATATCAAAATCAAATACTCCAGTCCGGCTTTAGAAACGACAGGCTCGTCTCGAGTTTCCACCTGTACGATTCCTTTACCAATAACTCACTTGGTTGTGGATCCAGAAAAGAAGTAGAGGGATGCTTATTGCCTTCAGGCCTCAAAAACTATTATGGCAAAACATGTAAGGATGGACCTAAGAGCCAACTCAAGGAAGAAGAAAGTGAGAAAGTACAGGGAATGTGAGGCATGAATTTCCAATTTAGATTTTGTTATAGATTTTTAAAAATTATACATTACACACACCTTATCTGTTCATAGTTCCTTAGCAGTACAGGTGTGATGCAGGGTTACTGTACACAAGCGTTTTTCCTTGTGCTACACCTCAGCCATTAATGAAGGTCAGTACCTTGAGTGTTTGTGACACTTTCAAAATGTCCTATGACTTCATCTTTTAATGCCCATGAAACCTCGTTAAGCTGATGTTAGGCTTTATGGCAGTATCCGGGCGGCACAAACTATTTGGCAGCAGAAAAGCACAAGCAGAGTGCTCCCTTTACACTCCTAGCCTCCGTAATCACGACTGCAGAATCAATTGTCATTGATTTACACGTGAAATTGCAGCAGGCTTTTTTACAAATTGGATAATTGCAGTTGCTAAAATGAAAAGAAAAAAAAGGAAGGAAGAAAGAAAGGACATTCTTAATTCTGTTAGTCCCACCTTTTCAAAATATTTGATTTCATACTCCAGGATGATTCCATTGGGGCGATCTGGCTCTTGCCAAGACAAAGAGATGCTGTTCTTTGCAATCTTCCCCTTTTTCACATTGGTGACTGGAGAGGGGGCTGCAAAATAGTATAAACAAAGAGTGGCATGATTAACAGAGCCCTGAAATCACAACTGTGTATAACGTATACTGGCATTCTTGGAACGTGCTGTAATAAAAGTCCAAAACAATTAAATTTTCTTTTAATCTGGAAACAATTTTACTTTCTCTACATGATACAAGTTTTCATAGACTGTAAAGTTGTTTTACAAATGTAAATCAACTAAGTACCCTGAGACTTTTTTATCATAAAACTGTAGTCACACAGAATCTTAAGTTTGCATTTTTTTCTATAAAGTTTAGAAACACAAATGAATGATTTTACTTTTCCTTAAAGAATAAGCTGTTTTAAAAATTTATGGACTTTGTGTAATATATGCCATTATGGTAACAGATACATAATTATCTATTTTACCACATTTTTGCATCTTGAAGGTTCTTTATTATTTTTGAAATCATGTGGGTTCTATAATCACTATTAAATTTATATATTAAATATGGTGCATGTTTTCCTTCAAAAATATATTATAAAATGTGTTATACTTTGAAAACAATAGCAAATAAAACAAACATTTCCTTCATTTCCATTTCCCGCAAGTATTTCATGAGAAGTAAAAATCACCTTTGGTTTGGTTGTTATTTACCAATGTCTATTAAGTGACCACTTTTCTGATGAAAATACAAAAAAAAAAATTGTCTGTTATTTCAGATATGTCTGGATATTTTTAATTCCCAAACACACAGACATTTGACTCAACATCCATTGCTATCAGTTTGTTGAGACTTGTATGGACACTGGGTCTGACGTCATCAAGAGGTAGTGACTAATATTTTCTGTTGCAGGTTACCTTTACTTTTGTAGCTTTTAGGTTTTAGAAAAGACAAAGGAGAGACTATGACGGACTAATTGATGATGTGTGTGTGACATAATACACGTCAGATAAAATATGCACATGTATAATGTACATATAAGATGCCAAAGATGTCAGCCTTGACTAGAGTGCAACCAGAGACGGCCCCATCGCCATCGGAACATCATGCACAGTAACAGGCCCCTGGTAACATTAAATTACATATATTCACATTTTACATTTATGTAAACCTTACATATATCCTGAAGAGCAAAACACAACCCAGGATCTCGAACGAGGCTCAACAGCCGCAGGTTCCCTCGCCTCACCGCCTGCTGCCCCCCAGCAGCTCGCCGGGCCCCCTCGCCCCCGCGCCCAGGCCCCGCGGGCGCCCCGGCCTCCTCTCCCACCCGGGACGACTCTCCCTCAGCCCTCGCCTCCGGTGCCCTCTGCGCCCCAGCGGTGCACTTTCTCCTCCGTTCTGCGCTTGCACCACCTGGTGTCACACCTTAACTGCGGACGTGGTCTTCTTCTGTCCTCTCAAGTACAGTGCAATTTTGGGAGGGGAGAAATACAGTGATTTTATTCACTGCTGGCCGCCTAGATTTAGAACAGTGCCTGGGACAGAGGAGCGCCCAGTAAGGACACACGGAATGAGAGACTGGTGGTAGAACATCATCAAAGGAATATACAAAAATAACCAAAACACCACCTTATTTTTAAATTATTATGTCAACAAACTCAACTATGAAACACAAGGGTGAAGTGTGTTTTTTAATAAAATTAAAATAAATAGGGATGTTGGTGATGACCTGATATATCTTCTGTTTTTAAAATTTATGGACTCTGTGAAATATATATCATTATGGTAATAGATAATCTGTAAGAGAGAACACTTAGTTAATTGCTTCATGTTTTATATAGCCATAATAGGGTGACAGCGGCTTTGTATTTTAATGTGTATTTTGTTGTTGTGGTGGTGTTTTGTTTTTAAGCACAGGTCTTTGTGATATTCAAGTTCAGAGGATGCATACTTTTGTCTCTATTTTGTTTTCTTAAATGTGTCCAATTCCACAAAGGTTTTCCTGGAATATTATAACACATGATATGCATATAAGCAAAACTTGTCTAACAGATTGGAAATTGCAATATGTTTACTTCCATGGTTCTCACAGTCACATTTTGGCATAGATTCAAAGTCCCTATTGATTTCCTAGTGATGGAAAAGTCACGCCCTATTCCGCACTGTGGACAAAGCATCCAGAAGACAATAAATGAGAAAACATAAGCTACGGGGCCCCCAGTTCATCAGAGTGTTTGTAGCAAAGTAGCAAATTTACTGAAGGAGAAACAGTCACAGAAGCTTAAGGAAGGCAGTAGATTTTTTTAATGTACTTTGATCAGTAGTGAAGAGCTTGTGAATTATCTTGAACCATGAATTACACTGACTTTATGATTAGCATTATATTTTTATTGCATTATGTTAGTAAATATACAGACAAAGGCTGTCTTGAAAGTTTTTCACTCACTTTACTACTTTGCAAACATTCTCTTTTTGACGGATGTATTTCTCATAGATAACTGTCAGATTTCACCTAATAACTGATGGTGTCACCTCTCCATTCATAAGTTGCACTTAATGTGTAGCCTCCATGAAGGCAGGATTAATCTGGTTTCACTCACTGCTCTATTTCCAGCACCAGATAATTATTTTGCACATAGAGATTTCATAAATATTTGTTGAATGCATGTATGCACGAACGAATAAATAGGAAACACATACGTCACCATGTATCACTCAAAACTGAGTTTGTCTCATCTTAGTTGCTTATATTAAGATTTTATTAGTTAGAGATTTGTGCTTTATTTCAAAACATAGTCAATTCTTTAATAAAATAATCAACCATTTCAGAGGGAAGCTATCAAATAACATTCCACCCACAATTAACCAGCCTGAAGGGGAAAACTTTGTTATTTACTTAGATCCATCAAAATGAAACAAAAATTAGGTAGCTTGCACAAGGCTGCTTGACTGAGAACCGCCACTGTTTGTCAAACTTGGTTTTCTCAGAGGTTAAACACAGAGTGTTCTTTAAAATGGTTCAGAATCGGGGAGAAGGCAGCCCTCAGCTCAGGAGAGTTTAGGAACGATGTCCCCTCTGCATCCCACGGGTAAAAGCTGATCGAAGCGGGGACCCTGAGCTCCTGGGGCACAATGAGGATGCACGAATTGTCAATGGAGCGCCCGTCCATGACTGTAAAGTACTTTGCAAGTTTGTGCACATGAAAATAGCTACAGCCGGCGTGGGAGCTTCGAGGGCAGGTTTCATGCGTCTTACTTGTCCTGGCGGTGCCTCAGGCCTGTTCCTTAGCCGCACGAGCTTTTGGCAAGCCTGGGGCAAAATGAGGAGGAGGACTCAGGACATGTCTGCTTATAAAATGAAACTATTACTTTCCCAGGGTGAGAAGAACAGAAACATACTAAAGAAATCAACTTGTGACTAAACAAGTTAATCTACATAATTCCGAGTTCCACCTTTTGGATCTGTGGGAACATTCTACATTGTTTCTGTGTCGTAGCTTTTACGTGGAGCTGACCTTTGGGTACCAGTGTGATAAGCAAAATAGTGCTCCTTTAGGCCAGACACAGTGTTCATTGTGGACTAATTATTTCATCTCTTTGAATTAAAAAAAAAATTAAAATAGTTTTATATTTACAGAAAGATTACAAAGACGGAGCAGACAGTTCCCATATGCCCACACCTAGTGTCCCCAACTGGGAACATCTTACAATAGTGCAATACCTCTGTCCCTATTCATGAACCAATATCGATCAATACACTATCATTATTAAGCTCAGTCCACACTTTATTTACATTTCCTTAGTTTTTTACTTATCCTTTTTCTGTCCCAGGATCCCCCCAGCACACCATATTACACTTAGTCATCACGTCTTCTTATGCTCCTTTTTAGTTATTATAGTTTCTCAGACTTTGCTTGATTTGATGGCTTTGACAGTTTTGAGGCTTACTGGCCAGGTATTTTGCAGGCTGTCTCCACTGGGATGGATTTGATGTTTTCCTCATGATTAGACTGAGGTTATGAGTGCGGGGGAGAAAACTATAGAGATGAAGAGCCATTTTCATTATATCATAGCAAGGATGCCTACTATCAACATAACTGTCCACTGTTTTGTTAACCTCGCTCACCCGACTAAGACTGCATTGCCCTGTCTTCTCCACTGTTTTCTATGCTGTGCTCTTTGGAAGGAAGTCACTCTGGGTGTCCATGCTTAAGGAACAGAGTTATGCTCTGCCTCCTTGAGGCTGGAGCATCTGCGTAAATTATTTGGAGTTCTTCTGCACAAGAGATTTGTCTATTATTTACTCGTTCACTTATTCATTTATTTATATCAGTACGGATATATGGATATTTTTATAATTTGGTTTCTAATCAAGGAATTTATTTTGTTACTCAGATTTTTAAGGTTGGCCATGGATTCCTCTTTCAGTTAGTTCTCATGTCTCTCTGACATATCCCCATCACTGTGAGTTTGTCTGTTTGTTTCAGATACCACTTTCTTACTTCCTGGCACTATAAACTGTAAGACCAGCTACTCTAGGCCCATCTTGCTCATTTACTGCCCAGTCTTCAAGGCAGTCATTTTTCCTAATATCACCAGTTTCTTTCATTGGACAACGCTGTTAGAAACCAAGATCTGGATGACAGGTGTGCTCCTTGCTTCTGGGTGTGATTGCTTCTAGGCCCTCCCAGCTGACACAGCTAGGAAATAAAAGTATCTATACTAACCTGTGCATATCTATAAATATTTCTATATATCATTACAAATGTATACATATGCATGTATATTAAGCTAAACATAAGTATATACTGATGTCACCAACTCTCAGCAGTTATCAAATAGACCGTTCTAACCTCTTCGCCTTACCTATCTGTAACCTCCCTCTCCACCAGTGGCTCCCACCACCCACCACCCACTTACTTCAATTCTAGTATATATGTCTAGTGATTAAAGAATTGCTAATCTTATCTCTTTGGCTTATTGATAAAGATATAATAATGTAGAAATCTCTTAACATCTCAGTGGCACAAACAATGATATACAAAACCCTGCCATCCATTGTGTAAAACACAGCGTGTCTTCCTA